TGAGGACCTATCCACGTCATCATTTACCCAGAATGCTTTGTGTAAATAAAATGGCTCCATCCATGTTAAAATATATATTTAAAACCTTACAAAACTAAACAGCCTACAGTATTTTTACAGTCTTTATTTTACAGTTAAAGTATATGTTTATCATATAAAATCTAATGTTACAACTATCGGGGATCCCTTTAAAGCACTACACTACGCATTGTGCATTATTATGCTTAAAACTCTGGCATTAATCTTTGGTGTTGATCCTGTTTGTCTGCTAGCAAAATCTATCATGAGACACTGGATGGGTATCAGTGAAACCCTCAGAAAGTAATGACATTTACAACTCATTAACTTCTAATTCAGTAAGGCTGCCTTGATCTTAGCTAACTAAAATGGCTACAATTCAGTTAATTTTACAGATATTAAGCTAAAAATTGGTGAAGCTGATTGTTATCCCCAACACTTACTTCAAGTGCTAACTATCATGGCAGGTGTAATTTGAACCCATATGCAGACCACATAGGAGACTCAGGGATAAAAAAAAATACATATTTTTTTATTCAACAAAGGCCAATGTGGAGACAAATCTTACTGAAAATGTGGCGCACAGGAATTACAACGAGACATGAGGAGACGACCAAGATTTCTAGTGAAACCAAACGAACCACTAGTGTGAAGACAGCAGGAAAATGAGTACATGGGAACCAGACTGATGGGATATGGGAAAAAGCTGAGTTGATTAAGTAGTGGCAACAGGTAGAAGTGGCTGAGTGGAAAAACAGTGAGAAGCTGGATGAGGTAAAAATAAGAAATGCACAAGGTAAATACATAAACACAAGGAAAAAATCTAGAAATAAGACAAACAGAGACAAGAGGGAAAGATCCAAACAACTAATAAACACAAAGCACCACAGAAATAATGAATCAAAGCACACAGGCCATGACACTAACAATTAACGTGAGAACATTGCATGAGATTGTGTGATTCGTCGTTTGGATGGTTTGACTATAAGTCAGTTCCTTCTCATTTCAAGATGATCCAAGTATAAAACTCTGTCATGAAAGGGGGTGTGCAATATGCATGCCTTTAAGAAATACTCTATTAATTTTTGTAAAAGTTATGTGGGACCAGGGCCGGCCATAGCAATATGATGTCCCAGGCAAGATTTCAGTTGTCACCCCTTGTGCACTTTTCTAAATCTYCCTACCAATGTACATTCACATTACCATAGTTTTGTCTTTGATATTTTTTTTTATCTTTATAAAGCAGGCTGTCCAATTGAAATTGTTAACATTACAATTCATTTGACACAAAATATCAGGAGTCTACCTCAAACCTGCCAATATCTGCTGACACCAATGAGGAACACCTGTTCATGTTAACGAGCAGATGTGGAGTGAAGCAGTTCTGGGGGGGGGGGGGGGGGGGCCCGGTGTGTACGCTCCTGGAAAATCTAGTAAAATTTGAGAAGTATTTTGCTACATTCTTGGGATTGATAAAACATCATAGAATCAGTATTTTATGAAAGTAGAACACCGAAAACCAGACTTTAACCTGAACGTTATCTGAAACTTCCGTTATCCTCATTTTGTTTTCTGATCACACACTGAAAAATGACACGAATATCTGCACCATGCGACCAAACAGGCTGACAAACTCACAGAACAAACCACCATCATAAACTTGAGCAACCAGCAATTAATCTACAAATTAATTAAACTTTACTCTGATAAAAATTTATAAAATGTTTTTTTTTTGTGGCTCCCCTTAGATGAATGGCGCCCTTAGTATTTGCCTATATTGCCTATGCCACAGGCCAGCCCTACGTGTGACTTTAAATGTTTAAATGTGTATTTTTATGTGAAGGAGTTTGATTTGGAGCGGAGAGCCGAGCTGATGCTGCGGGAAGCGGCCAGGTTGGACTGCAGGCAGTTTGTTTCTCCTCGCGACGTCACGACTGGAAACAGCAAACTCAACCTGGCCTTCGTGGCCAACCTGTTCAACATGCACCCCGGTCTGCAGAAGGCTCATATTAACAACCTGGAGGGGGAGCACATAGAAGGTATAAACCCTCCTCGGCTGTAACGTTGCGTGCTGTGCTTTTCTAGCAGCATGTCTCAAAGGTCAAAGAATGATAAAACATGCAAGGTAATAATTGTTTGAAGGTGTGGCAGGTGAGTGTTGAATGATAGCCAAGATCAGTGTTGCGTGAACAGCTGGTGGAAAATGTGATAAAGTCTAAAATTTCGTTATGTCTTTCCAGCCGAGACCAGAGAGGAGAAAACATTTCGCAACTGGATGAACTCTCTGGGTGTCTCACCGCATGTAAACCATCTTTATCGGTATGTCATCATCCTTATCAGAGGACATAAATACTTAGGAATCCTAAAGATAGCAACATGAATGTGCAGATTCTTTGGAAATGATGGTACTTTAGACAAAGAATAGCAGGACATTTGTTATCTGACATACAGATTCTGGGTCGTCTGTGACTCAAAGATTGTTCGGAGATACATTAGTTATATCATTTATATAGTCAAAAATTGAAATATCTTTGAACAATTTCTAGCTCTTTTTCTTCAAACTTTATTAAATGGGAGGTGTGGTATATGAAGGTAAATATATCTCAAAATGCAAACATTGTAGCTTTAAGGTGAAACATGGTTAAATGTGATGGAAGACCCTGCACAGCAATAAACAGAACCAAAATGTCTGAAAATGTAATCAAGTAAAAGATTCAAATCTATGAGAAATAGTCACCAAAATGACAAAACATGTAAAAAAAWTTTTATAAAAATTTTATTCGCCGGACATTGTTTACACAAACATGTCCTGAATGCAATATTTACTTACAAGTCTATAAAATACCTGGTAACACTTTATAATAACAACGCCTTATTTAACCTTACTTAAACTTACTTAATCATTAATAAATGGTTAGTTAACCTTGAAAAACAATTAATTAAGGATTATTCATACTTAAGCTTTAAATTAACACATTTACAATTGCTTTACCCATAAAGGCTAATTACTTCCAAAACAAATATACTCATTGTTTATTCATGCCTAATAACGTGTGAAATAACTATTCTACATACTGTGCAAATTCTCAAATAAATGTACTTTTACGCTATGTGTTAGATGTGTTAAGTTAGCAGTTGGCAGGTACTCAGAGCCGGCTCTTGGCATAGGCGAACTAGGCGGTCGCCTAGAGCGCCATCTGCTGGAGGGGGCGCCAAACTGCAGAAGAAAAAAGTAATTATTTGTAATCCTTGGTTGTAACTCTGCTCAGCTCCCCTTTCAATTAGCTTTGTCTTAAAAAAAAACCATAATGAAGTATTACAGGAAAAATAAACTACTCTACCCATAAAACATTCCCCCCCATGCAGCAAACGCCCCCACCCTCTCTCTCATTTGATTGACGTTGCACTGACTCGTCCTGCTCCGACACTCTGACAGGGGAGGGGCTAGTAATGCCTCTCAGGTAGCGTTTCGTGTTGATAAACTCAATAAAAAGTCTGTATTTTGTTTTCCCTTATATGTCAACCTCTTCGGACGTTTACCTGTAAAAAAAAGCCTCAAGAATCCGTACATTTTGCAAAAAATCCATACAACTCGCAACCGTGGGGGGGGG